ATGGAAACTGGGACACAGGAAAAAAGCAAAGTGATTAGGGTGGGAGGTGGGTAGGAGGGAGAAATGCATTAACCCTAAAGTTGTACATCTTGCACCAGAGAGCTTAAGCCCTTAATACATTATTCCTCAAATTCCTCATATTTTCAGTACCTGTTCTCTGATGTTAAAGAAAGAAGACCAGTTTACGTGGAAAAGCTATACTAAAATAGAGGAAATGGCACCCAAAACAAGCTAATGAACAAGACAATAAAACAAGGAACACATTATCGTGTTTTAAATAAGAAAACCAGTAATATAGGTCTAAACAAACTACAGTTCTACCAAAAAGCAATAAGCAGGGATTCTAACAGACATTTGTATACTCATGTTCATAGCAACATTGTTTACAAGGGCCAAAAAATGGAGGCAACTCAAATGTTCATCGATGAATGGATAAACAAAATTTGGTATAAACAATGGAATATTATTCAGCCTTAATATGGAAGGAAATTCTGATACATGCTATAGCATGAATGAAACTTAAAGACATTATGCTAAGTCAAGCCAATCAAAAGGACAAATACTGTGTGACTCTATTTATATGAGGTTGCTAGAGCAATCAAATTCATAGAGACATAAAGTGGTAGCTATCAACGGGTGGTAACAAAAGGAGTCATTATTTAATGGATACAGAGCTTTAGTTTCGGAAGGTAAGAAAAGTTCTGGGGATGGATGGTGGTAATGCTTACACAACAATGTGAATGTACAGCAATCAGAATACCAGTGAACTATGTACTTTAAAAATTGTTAAAATGGTAAATTTCCTATCATGTATATTAAAACAATACTTCTATCAACAAAAGTCTCCCTCTTTGAGGTATATTTGTATTTTTATATATACTCAGAAAAACAAATGTCTTGCTAGAAATTGTTTTTTTTTTTAAAGAGACTGGGTCTTGCTACATTACCCAGGCTGGAGCACAGTGGTTATTCACAGGTATGATCATAGCATACAGCAGCAGCTTTGAACTCCTGGCCTCAAGTGATCTTCCCAAGTAGCTGAGACTAAAGGTGCATCACTGAACCCTGCAGAAATTGTTTTATTTCCTTAAAAAGTGATATGATAAAGTTATAAAATGCTAACTTTTAATATGCTTTACAGATCACTGATAAGTAAATTAATAGATTGTAGCTGTCAAACTAACCTAGTTCAAAACTGGTTTCAGAATCATATATTAATTAACGTTAGATGTCTTTTGAGGGTACATAAAAGGGTCAAATTTTTAATTTCAACCACACTTAACACCCAGTTACTTTCAGCACTACCCAACCTGGCGAAAGTCCAAAATAAGTAATATTTCTGGATACTAAGTAGCCTGCACTGATAGGTTTTATATAGGTTTTAAGTTCTGCTAAAAAGGGGTGAATTTCACATTGCCTTAGAACAAAAGAAATTTCCAAACAAAACACTGCAACGATTTTACTTCTGCATATGATGGTTTCACCTAGGACTCTCTCAACTACTTCAGGGCTAGGATGAAAAGTCACAGATCTGTTGAAATTCTAGGTGATGCTCAGAACTGGTTCAGAAGGCTTGTGTTATCCATTGAAAAAGATTCTGGAGAAACTTGACTGAGTTGGCCAACCAATAACAAAAATACCCAAGCCTATCCTTGGACAGTTTTCTTCATATTTAAAGTTATTTCTGTGGCTTTTACCTATGTATAATCAAGGATTAAAAGTCATAATTATAATTTATTCTGTGAGGTAAGATCTTTGGATACTGGTTAACGTTACTGTTTTTGAATGCTGCTTCCTCTCAAGAATTTATTTTTTTCTTCAAAAGAAGAACACATTTTTCAATTTCCCAATGCTTGTTTCTCTTTCTCCTCTTCCCCCACCCCCGCCTTTTTTTCTTTGATAGACAGGGCCTCCTTACATTGCCCAGGTTGGTCTTAAACTCCTGGGCTCAAGTGATCTTCCTGCCTGACCTCTCATAGTGCTGGAATTACAGACATGATCCACTGCACCCGGCCCCTATTTCTTTTCATGAATATAGTATCTCTTGAAATCTGTGGCCCACTGATTTCCTAAACTCTAGAATCATGTCAGCAACTTTATCTTGCTAATTCTACCTACAAATAACAATTGTAACAGATAAAATTGATTGACGTAGATGTGGGGAAACATGCTATTTACATATTATACTAATTGTTAGAATTTTAATCTCTTCACTACAAGATGAACACATATTCCGTAATAGAGAGGACATTTTACGAAGTATTCCAACAATACTTGTTGGCTGATTGGCTTCCTCAATAGTTTCTTGTCCTGAAGCACATTCTGGCTATTAACCATCAACAAAGATTTCTAATTGTTTATATGGTCACAGCTGAAGGCTGACAGTTGTTTTTTTTTTTTGAGATGGCGTCTTGCTCTGTCACCCAGGCTGGAGTGCAAGGGCACGATTTCGGCTCACTGCAACCTCCGCCTCCCGGGTTCAAGTGATTCTTGAGCCTCAGCCTCCCGAGTAGCAGGGATTACAGGCATGCACCACCACACCTGGCTAATTTTTGCGGTATTAGTAGAGACAGGGTTTCGCCATGTTAGCCAGGCTGATCTGGAACTCCTGACCTCAGGTAATCCACCCGCTTCAGCCTCCCAAGTGCTGGGATTACAGGCATGAGCCACTGCATCCAGCCTGAAATCTGAACTCTATCTTAAAGTGGCAAATCCAGTCTTTCATAACTCAATTCATGTAAACTCACTAGTCTAATCTCCTGCCATTCTTCTCCATGAATGCTACTTTTCAACCACACTTTTTTTTTTTTTTTTTTTGAGATTAAGTCTTGCTGTCCCCCAGGCTGAGGTGCAGTGGAGCCATCTTGGCTCACTGCAACCTCCATCTCCCAGGTTCAAGCAATTCTCCTGCCTCAGCCTCCTGTGTGGCTGAGACTACAAGCATAAGCCACTATGCCCGGCTAATTTTTTTGTATTTTTCTTTTAGTAGAGACAACGTTTCATCATGTGGCCAGGCTAGTCTTGAATTCCTGATCTCAAGTGATCCACCTGCCACTGCTTCTGGCCCAACCACACTTTATGTTCCCTGAATCGGCTGTTTTCTCAACATCTTTGCTCTTATTTCAAATATTACCTTGTCAGAGGCCTTTCTTAATACTACAAGCAAACTTAAGAAAACATTTTTATACACCAATGCATATTACATTATGGTAATTATCACCTTAAACTGTTTACTCTCTTTCCTCTAAAATTTAAACTCCTTGAGATTTACCTCTTTTTTCTAAAATCCCTGTCCCTATCCTTTACTACAGCACCTGATATATAGGAAGCATTAAAAAAAAACTAGGTCACTAACATTTTAAAAGTACTGAATGGTACCAACATTTTTCAAAATTTGATATTTCCTCCTTTATTGGTAGATCTGTCGTTCTAGCACCACAATAGATGCAAGTCTTAAGGGCTCTCAAATAAAAGTATAATTCTGCTATGACTACATGGACATACAATATGTATAAAGACGGTCTCCAAGTTTCTTGACAAGCTCATATCACATCAAAGACTAAGGTCTGACAACCTTTCTATCTCCTCATTTCTACAAAAACCTTGAATGATGTTGACATAGGTTAGAATGACAGTCTCCTTGAGTCTTTGGTCTACAGTTGATAAAACTTATTCTCTCTAAATATGAAAAAAATAGGCGGGGCATGATGGCTCACGCCTGTAATCCCAACACTTTGGGAGGCCAAGGTGGGTGGATCACCTGAGGTCAGGAGTTCGAGACCAGCCTGGCCAACATGGTGAAACCCTGTCTCTACTAAAAATAAAAAATTAACCAGGTGTGGTTGCACGTTCCTGTAATCCCAGCTGCTTGGGAGGCTGAGGCAGAAGAATAACTTGAACCCAGAAGGCAGAGGTTACAGTGAGCCAAGATCATACCACTGCACTCCAGCCTGGGCATAAAGAACAAAATTCCATCTCAAAAAAAAAAAATTTAGTCTTTCTTTATTCTCAGATAAATTTAACCTATGGGGCCAGGTAGGGGTGGCTCATGCCTATAACCTCAGTACTTTGGGAGGCCAAGGCAGAAAGATCACTTAGGTCAAGAGTTTGAGACCAGCCTGGGTAACACAGTGAGACTCCATTTCTTAAAAACAACAACAACAACAACAACAACACAGCCAGGCATGGTGGCACATGCCTGTAGTTCCAGCTACTTGGGAGACTGAAATGGGAAGATCACTTGAATCCTGGAGGTTGAGGTTGCAGTGAGAGTCGTGATCACACCACTGCACTCCTGCCTAAGTGACAAAGAAAGACTGTCTCAGAAAAAGGTCCTTGGTTCTGCTCCATTCCTACTGTCAATTTGGGTAACCCAGCAATAACTACCAAGCAATAACCAGCAATAAAAACCAAATTTATGCTGTTGCTATCTAAATTTATGCAACATTCACCAACACAGGACATTTTTTAAAGCAAATGTAGTACATAAAGGCTGTAAATAAGAGCTGTGTTTCTAACTCAGGATCTGATAACCTAATTAGAAGACTACAAACACCATATTCAACTTAATATTTATTCAGTTGTTAAGTAAACACCTGTACATTACACAGCATGAAATTTTAATAACATATATTATATAAGATTATAGCTCCTAAGCAGTCAGCTCTAAAAGCCAATATTCTCTGGGATATATAATTTCTGTTATATGTATGTAAAAAAATTACTAGTAATCATATTATTTATTTGTTTATAACATCATTCCACAAAGAAGTGAGACAGTTTAAAATAACACTGTAATAATTTATCCAAAAATGGCTAAAATGAAAAATCAACACAGTATAATAGATTCTGAAGTCCGACCAGAGTTAAATCTCAGTTCTTTGGCCTACTAGCAATATGACCTAAATTTAAACTTAGAATGGTCATCCTGATTTGCCTGAGACAGTCCCAGTTTACACATGCCATTCCACCATAATTATTATATGTACTTAAAACAGAAATGGGATTTCATTGTGTTGCCCAAACTGGTCTCAAACTCCTGGCCTCAAGTGATCCTCGCATCTTAACCACTCAAAGTGCTGGGATAACAGGCATAAGCCACCATGCTCAGCCCACCATGCTCAGCCCACTATAATTATTAACAGTACCTTCTTTGACTTTCACAAGTGTCCTAATTTGGATAATAACTTAAATACTACCCTACCCAAACTCCTTACCTGAAAAAAGATATTATGAGAAAATCTACGTAAGGCATAATATCTGACACAAAGAAAGCATTCGACAATCATAGCTATCATTATAATTATTGATCAAAGAGCAATATAATGATAACCAAGACTCCTAAAACCCTTTTCACAAATTGTGCCTCCTTTTTCACTTTTCCTTTTAAATAAATTCTGCCTCATCCCTTCCTTTCTTTTCTTCCTTCCCTTCTCCTAAAACACACACAAGTACAACATAAATCATAAGAATGTTTTGGGAGAGGTTTCTAACGGCACCTCTGGAAAAAAACTCAAAAACTTAGGGTCATGATAAGCCTCAGAATAAGGAAAAGAGTAATTAAATATTTTAAATGATATGACTATGATAATATAACTAAATTCTGAAATAAAGTAAGTGCTTTTCTTCAATATAATTTTGTTAGAAGGTTATATAGTTATTGGAAATTTCCTAACAAGGACTTTGAAAACCAATGGCCCATCCGTAAGTGTTTCAGAAGCTAGAGCCTAATAAAAATATATAAAGAGGTTGTTAAAGGGAAAATATGAAAAAGTATTTTAACTTACCTGAACTGCACAACCCAATAAAAGTAAAAGCAGTTTTTTAACTTCTTCTGTGCCTTGTTCTAAAATAGAAACAATTTATTAAAGACAACATTTTGCTGTATTTTCAACTCTCTTATATTTGGAGAATCACTTCTAGAGGTATTTATGCATAGTAACTTGACTGAAGGATTCAGTCTAAGCATATATAGTGGAGAATTCAAAACACCAGCTCTATGCATGTACAAGGTGGTAACAGCAGAAGAAATGGGCAAGGATATCGTATCAATTTTGAAGGGCTAGTGGATAAAGAGGTTTCAAGGCTCTGTGCAATAAGTATGCTAACTATGAATCTACTCCTTTTCCATAAATGATTGTACTATACCAGACTAACAAATCAAGAACCTATCAAATCAGGTTGATATAGGGACATGCCACAAAAGCAGCCAAAATGGCTCCTAATAGGTCTGGCTCCTTTTAGGCCTATCAGCGTTTTCTTACTTAAAACACAGATCTTATGATTCATCTTCCTATCAAATTTAAATCATTTTCCACTGTGCATGTTCATGAAGATCAGAATCTTAAATGTCTATTTCAGTGAGGCTGTTCAAATAAATGTATATAACAAGCCAGGTAAAAGCTAACACTCTATAACATAAATGGAGAGAATATTCCCTATCCAAAAGCATTCAATTAAGATTTTCTTAAAATATTCAGCTGGAAAAAAAAATCACTTCTTTGGGCCAGGTTTTTACTACTAGGCAAATCTGTCTATGAAAAAGTCCCAATCTTCTTATCAGACATTTCCTTCTACTCTTGATGAAACAACCTACTTTCTAGCTACACTGAGCCACATTAATCACCATTCCTCTCAAGTATGCATACATAAACACTCCTCTGCCTTAACTAACACTGCTCCCTCTGCCTCTCCTCCTTCCCCAACCTCCTCATCCCCCTAGTGAACTGCTTGCTAATCACAATCCTAGGCACAGTTCTTATCATCTCTGTGTAGTCCTCCCTGACCCAATCATCAATGGTCCCCAACCCTCACTTATATGCCAACTTTAAGAATAATTAATGGCTGCATATTTTATATGCCAGAACAACTGGTACATATTTTTACTTCATGCTAACTTTTACATGATTTCTGCATAATCTGTGTATCCCTCACCAAACCAGAAGAGCCTTCAGAACATAGACTATTTCCACTCCTGGTCCCTGTAACTTGGTAGGTACTTACCAAATGCATGTAGGATGGAAAACAAGTCCATCCTATATGAGGTTTTTTTTTTTTTTCATTTTTAAATTTATATAATCAAATCCCAGAGTATCTCTAAAAACTATCTAAGCTCTTAATTCACTCCATCTAATTAATAGTTTCCTCTATAAAAATAGCTACTGGATTTAAGTTTTTATTTGGTTTTGTTTTGACTGAGAGGGGGTATGAGCTGAAGAAAACACACTTAATTTGGATAACCTGTAAAGATAAGTCCACTGATGAAACTGTTAGGTAGCTGTTAATTTCCCCAACTGTTCAAAAATTACAATTCTAAAATATTACATTTAAAATCTGGTAAAGGGCAGAATATTTTGAAGAAAAAATTTAAATGATCTAAGAAGCTGCCTCGGCTGGGTGTGGTGGCTCAGACCTGTAATCCTAGACTTTGGGAGGCCAAGGCAGGCAGATCACGAGGTCAGGAGATCGAGACCATCCTGGCCAACATGGTGAAACCCTGTCTCTATTAAAAATACAAAAATTAGGCAGGTGTGGTGGCACGTGGCTGTAGTCGCGGCTACTCAGGAGGCTGAGGCAGAAGAATTGCTGGAACCCGGGAGAGGAAGACTGCAGTGAGTGGAGATCATGCCACTGCACTCCAGCCTGGGCAACAGAGCGAGACTCTTGTCTCAAAAAAAAAAAAAAAAAAGAAAGAAAGAAAGAAAAATAAAAAAGAAGGAAATTGCCTCTTTTCTTTCCATTCAGAAGAAGTTTAATATAAACTAAAACATATCAGACCGGGTGTGGTGGCTCATGCCTGTAATCCCAGCACTTTGGGAGATCGAGGCAGGAACATCACTTCAGGTCAGGAGTTCAAGACCAGTCTGGCCAACATGGTAAAAACCTGTCTCTACTAAAAATACAGAAATTAGCTGGGCGTGGTGGCCATGCCTGCAGTTCCGGCTACTCGGGAGGCTGAGGCAGGAGAATCACTGGAACCTAGGAGGCGGAGATTGCAGTCAGCCGAGATCCTACCATTGCACTCTAGCCTGGGCAACAAGAGCAAAACTGCATCTCCAAAATAAATAAGTAAATAAATAAGTAAATTATATCAATCAGAAAAACTTAAGATTCAACAATTTTGGCAATGTTAGATACTATATGAATAGAAATCCGGAAATTATTTCAAAATCATTTCTTTTCTAAGGTAATATTCCTTTAAGTTTATAACTATATCATCTTCTATACTTCTCTATAATGAGACACTAAAAATCATCACAGAAAAGTATCTGTTTGGTATAGTAGATAAAACACTGAATTTAATGTAAAATTTATCTCTGGGCTTACCTACAACTTAAAAACATCCTAAGCTTGTCTCTTTCTATAAAATGGAACATGACCTCCAACTTCTACAGTTGTAAAAAAAATCTAGTGAGTTAATGTAAACAAGCAAGCTTTTAGTAAAAAATAAACACCACAGTATTACACAAAGATTAGACATTACTATCACATTACGTTAATTTTAATACTTACCAGAAAAGGGATTTTTGCCAATGATTAAGACATTTGGCAACGACATCATGATTAATTGCTGCAAAGTCTCCTGTGAAAAGATATCCAATACTTGTTATATGGATAATGCTAACTAGGCAATTATTCATCAAGCTGTAACTTATGATTTGTACATTCTTCTGTAGGTGTGCTATACTGCAATTAAAACAAACATATATGAAAAAAGTTATATATGGTCTTAAATTATAATACCAGATAGGCTTAAGTTAATAATACATCAGGCTGGGTGCAGTGGCTCACACCTGTAATCCTAACACTTTGGAAGGCCAGGGTAGGAGGATCACTTGAGACCAGGCTGGGCAACATAGTGAGACCTTCGTCTCTACACACACACAAACAATAATAAAGTTTTAAAAATATCAGATATCTCCAAATTAAAGCATCCAAGTCAAAATGGTCTAATATTTATTATTTGGAAATCTGAAGTTTTAGGTGCTAGAAATATAAGAAACATCCTCAATAAAAATCAAGCAAAATTAAGAAACATTCCTCAATAAAAGTTGGAGCATGTGTGCTTTTTGTTCCTGTTAGTTCTTGCTGAGGAAACTAAAAATATATCATACAAATTTATGAGTACTGTCACTGATATACATATATATATATATATATATATATATATATATATATATATGGTTTTTTAAAATTGTCTTGAGATGGAGTCTCACTCTATTACCCAGGCTGGAGTGAAGTGGTGTGATCTCAACTCACTGCAACCTCCGCCTCCCAGATTCAAGCCATTCTCCCGCCTCAGCCTCCAGAGTAACTGTGACCACAGGTGTCCACCACCATGCCTGGCTAAATTTTGTATTTTTAGTAGATACAGGGTTTCACCATGTTGCCCAGGCTGGTCTTGAACTCCTGACCTCAAGTGATCCACCCACCTTGACCTCCCAAAGTGTTGGAATTACAGGCATGAGCCACTGCACCTGGCCATATTTTTAATATAATGAGAGAGCTATATTTTTATAATGTCAACTGATATTAAAATTTAAAAACCTAATTGCTTTATTAAAAATGCTATCTAATGATCATTTCATGAAAGCCAGTTCCTCCTCAGTGAACCATTATTTCAAGACTATAATAGATGTTTAACTTCAGTAAAAGTTTAGTGGTAAGAAGGTATGTAGATTCTGAAGGTATAAGGTGATTCAGAAAGAACTGAATGCTTTCGAATTCTTCAATTTAGGTAATACATAAAGTATGCACCTTCTGTTTATACCACCTCTTCCCTGAAGAAATGAAGAAATACATTGTGTCTGTCATTACAACCACTGACACTGATGATATGCAAAGGGTCTGGGATGAATTAGACTACAGGATAGATAGATGTCATGTGATAATTACTGAATCTTTGCAATATTAAGGAATAACTATGACAGATTCTTTATAAACTGACATGTTCAGATACAACTAGTTACTGAGGAATGTTTTTGAAAGTATTCAACTGTTTTTGAATCCTTTATTTAACTTGGTACTATGATAATAAAGCAAATAACCTTGAAAAATAACTGAAAAATTAACTTGTACTGCTTTTTTAAAATTTCTAATTCTAGATCCACTAAGAGCACTTACTGATGGTCAGAGGGTGGCATGACACCAGATGTTAATCAGAATTCACCTCTTATCTATAATTCTTTATGGATATATCCAAGAAAGTTTCAAAAATTTCCTTGGCGTATTAGCTCTTTAAAAAACTACTGCCAAAATATGACTGCATTTAAAGAAAAGTACTTACTTGATATATGCGTCATGTTAGAATAACAAATATCAAAAATTGCTAAAATCACTTACTCCATGAATGATATGGAGTTTGGATATTTAATGAATTAGTGTTCCAGTTAAAATCAAGTTATCTTAAGAAAGAATATGCTACAGCTATGTGTGTAACAGCTAAATGGACTTAAAGGAACAGATTTCCACTTCAGTTTTTTTTTTTTTTTTTTTTTTGAGACAGAGTCTTGCTTTGTCACCCAGGCTGAAGTGCAGTGGCTCGATATCAGCTCACTGTAACCTCCGCCTCCCAGGTGCAAGTAATTCTCTGCCTTAGCCTCCCAAGTAGCTGGGATTACAGGCGCCTACCACCATGCCCAGCTAAATTTTTTTGGTATTTTTAGTAGAGACAGGGTTTCACCAACTTAGCCAGGCGAGTCTTGAATTCTTAACCTTGTGATCCACCCGCCTCGGCCTCCCAAAATGCTGGGATTACAAGGCTGAGCCACTGTGCCTGGACACTTCATTTGAATTTTTAGATTCCTTGCCTTGAAGCAAAATTATAAGGACTGTCACTGCAGTTGTTTTTTTTTGTTTGTTTTTTTGTTTTTGAGACAGGTTCTTATTCTAGTCACCAGGCGGGAGTGCAGTGGTTACAATCACAGCTCATTGCAGCCTCAACCTCCCAGGCTCAAGCGATCCACCTGCCTCATTTGTTTTTATTTTTTATTTTTTTTGTAGAGACAAGGTCTCACTATGTTGCCAAAGCCAGTCTTGAACTCCTGGACTCAAACGATCTCCTGTCTCTGCCTCCCAAAGTGCTGGGATTACAGGCATAGGCCACCTTGCCCAGCCAGATATATTTTTTTTCTTTTTTGCTATGGATCAAGTGATTATTTGAAAAGATCTGAACTGCCACTTAACCATAATGAAGTATATGTTTGATAAACTTTCTGATAATCTAATGTTATCACTTATCTCTCTCATGAGCTCTCATATTACTACTTCATTGGTCTTACTTATCACAACAGAAATTATTTAGTTTTTTACTTGCCTATTATTCCTCTACTAGTACCATAGTTCCATGAAAATAGGGACATGGTATGTCCTATGCACCAAAGCAGCCCCAGTACCAGGTAGAATGTTTGGCGTTCAAGAAATGGAGAGGGAAAATGTGAACATTAGAATTTGTACTGAGCTTTTACAGATTCTAAATCATAAAAATGAAAAAAAAAAGCGCACTGACCTTTAAATTTTCCTATCATTACTGAAAAGATAAAATGAAATAATCGTCCCCCAACAATCATTTGAGGGTATTCTGTCAATTTGCTTTTCTCCCTGAGAATCGTCTTTACAAGACGACCTTGATGCCTACCAACCTATAAAAAAGTTTTTTTTCAAAGATACACTTTTGAATTTTAACTTACCCAAATTCACCTCCCCCTTTATGAGTCAGAACAATCAAAATGTACTAAAATGGCCAGACACAGTGGCTCACATCTATAATCCCAGCATTTTCGGAGGCTGAGGTGGGAGGATCATCTACGTTGAGGAGTTCAAGAGCAGCCTGGCCAACATGGCAAAACCCCATCTCTACTAAAAATACAAAAAAATTAGCCAGGCATGGTGGCAGGTGCCAGTAATCCCAGCTAGTCAGAAGCCAGAGGCAGAAGAATCGCTTGAACCCGGGAGGCAGAGGCTGCAGGGAGTAAAGATGGCGCTACTGCACTCCAGCCTGGGTGACAGAGCGAGGCTTTGTCTTAAAAAAAGAAAAAAAAAAAAAAGGTACTAAAATATTTAACCTTAAATACATCTTCTCAGGGGCATATGACATACAAAAAAATTTAACAGTTCTATACAGCCTTTCCCCCGAAATCTAAATTTTCTAAGAGAAGATAATATAAGCGCTGATGAGAACTCCATTGATTTGGACGTATTAACTTGCAATGTGTCATATATTAAACCAGACGCTCTCTAATATAAAGAGAATAAAAAATTATTTCAGTAAGCCAATTAACTATATATATAAAATGTCTGACCCATTTCTGAAGACAATTTAAAATAGTGGTTGGTGTGAACATAATTGTGTTCAAGACTGCAGTGAGCTATGAGCTATGACTGTGTTACTGCACTCCAGCATGAGCAACAATACCGGACCCCATCTCAAAAAATAAATAAATACAGCATAGTGACACACACATGTAGTCCCAGCTACTTGAGAGCCTGAGGTGGGATGACCGCCTGAGCCCAGGAGATCTTGGGCTACAACGAGCTGTGACTGCACCACTGCATCTTAGCCTAGGCAACAAAGTGAGACCTTGTTTCAATCAATCAATAAAAAATGTAAACAAATAAATACATAATTTATAAACGCATAAAGAAAAACAAAATCTAGGTGGAGGCAGATGTTGCAGTGAGCCGAGACTGCACCACTGCACTCCAGCCTGGATGACAAAGTGAGACTCTGTCTCAAAAAAGAAAAAAAAATCCAGAAGTATATATATTTGGGTGATAACAGTGGTAATTTCTTGGCATTGAAACTGTATTATCTTTTTTCTAATTTTCTACACTCAACAATATTGCTTCTATATAAACTTGCTTAAATTATATATCTATTTTTAGGCAGAGTCTCGCTCTGTCGCTCAGGCTGAAGTGTAGTTGCATGATCTCTGCTCACTACCTTCTAACTCCCAGGTTCAAGCAATTCTTGTGCCTCAGCCTCCCAAGTTGCTGGGGCTACAGACATGCACTACCATATCCAGCTCATTTTATTTTTGTATTTTTAGTAGAGGCAGGGTTTCACCATGTTGGCCAGGCTGGTTTGGAACTCCAGACCTCAAGTAATCCACCCATCTTGGCCTCCCAAAGTGCTGGAATTACAGGCAAGAGCCACTGCACCCGGCCAAACTTGCTTAAAATAAAGGTGGTTCAGGGTTGGTTGCACAAAAGGAAACGAATCTATGACTTGAACACAAAGAATTCCCACAAAGTCCCACCCCAAAATATGAGCTCACAATTAAAACACACACATCACTGCCACCCCTGCCACGGCCACCACTACTATCACCACAACAAGAAACAGAAAGCAGAAAACAAAGAACAGATTCAGATCTGCACATATTTCAGATTTTTGAATTATCAGATATGAAATCTAAAATAGAGAAAATTTAAATATCTGAAGAAATAAAGGAAAGAGTTAAGAAAATGATTAATGGACAAAATGAAAAGGCAATGTAAAAAGAACCAAATAAAACTTCCAGAAATGAAAGATATCATCAAAGTGTTAAACAGAAGATTTGACACAAATAAGGAGCAAATTAGTAAATTAGAGAGTTCTGAAAACAACACTTGGAATGCAGCACAAGCTTAATAAATAAAAGTTTAATAAGCAAGAAACAGAGTAACAAAGTCTAATATGTATCAATAGAAATATGTGAACTATATAGGATTGGTAGAATAGAAAAGAGAAAATATTAGAAGAGTAAATACTAAAAGCAGCTTGCAGAGAAAAAAGACAGCTTAGCTGGGCATGGTGGCACATGCCTGCAATCCCAGGTTCAAGATCAGCCTAGGCAACATGGTGAGACTCTGTCGCTATTTTATTTATTCAATTTTTTTAATTTATATCTGCATACCTTGGCCTCTCAAAGTACTGGGATTACAGGCGTGAGCCACTGCGCCCAGCCTTCTATCTCTATTTTAAAAATAAACAAACAAAAAACTATCTTTCAAAAACAAGAGTGAAATAAAGGCATTTTCAGACAAATATTCTCAAAGAAAAACATGCAGCTTGATCTAAAGAAACAGGGCTGGGTACACCGGCTCACACTTGTAATCCTAGCAGTTTGGGAGACTGAGGCGAGTGGATCATACCAGATTAGGAGTTCAAGACCAGCCTGGCCAACATGGTGAAACCCAGCCTCTACTAAAAATACAAAAAAATTAGCCAAGTGTGGTAGTGGGCACCTGTAATCCCAGCTACTTAGGAGGCTGAGACAGGATAATTGGTGGAACCCAGGAGACGGAAGTTACAGTGAGCTGAGATCGTGCCACTGCCTCCAGCCTGGCCAACAGAGCGAGACTCCATCTCAAAAAAATAATAATAAAGAAACTGTTTTTTATTTAACAGTACTTCTCAATATTTAATTTGTAAAGAAAAAGCCCTAAAATACAAGACAAGAAGATCTTAAAAGTCATAAAAGAGAATGACCAGAGTTAAAACATTATAAAGTCATAGCACTAATCCACAAAAGGGTAAAGATATTAATTTTGGCCTTTCCTATGTTTCGGTATAAAATGTATAATTTCAAAAGTCACCTCTGTAAAAATAGGAAGAGTAAAAAAATTTTAAGCCAGTAGAAAGGAAAAACATGTAGAAATAATTATTGATAGACTGGGCACAGTGGCTCATGCCTATAATCCCAGCACTATGGGAAGCTACGGGAGGTGGATCACCTGAGGTCAGGAATTTGAGAACAGCCTGGCCAACATGGTGAAATCCCATCTCTACTGAAAACATAAAAATTAGCTGGACGTGGTGGTGCTTGCATATAGTCCCAGCTACTCAGGAGTCTGAAGCAGGAAAATCACTTGGACTCAGGAGGTGAAGGTTGCAGTGAGATGAGATCACACTATTGCAATCCAGCCTGGGTGACAGAATGAGGCTCCATCTCAAAAAAAGAAAAAAAAAAATAGGAAAAGAAACAATTACTGATAAATAATCAAATTCTTCAGGAAGATTTAACAATTTTTTTTGAGGGGAGGGTGGGACAAAGTCCTGCGCCGTTGCCAGTCTGGAGTACAGAAGTGCAATCTTAGCTCACTGCAATCTCTTCCTCCCAGGTTCAAGCGATTCACCTGCGTCAGCCTCCTGAGTAGCTGGGGCTATAGGTGTGTGCTATCACACCCAGCTAATTTTTAGTAGAGACGGGGTTTCACCGTGTTGGCCAGGATGGTCTCGATCTCTTGACCTTGTGATATGCTTGCCTTGGCCTCCCAAAGTGCTGGGATTACAGGCAATTTTAAATTCATTTGCACCTAGTAACAGTTTCAAAGTCTATAAAAATAAAATTTGATAAATTCATCATTATATGGCACAGTTCAAATCCTCTTTCTCAGTAACTAATGGCTCAAAAGACAAATCAATAAGGCTATAAAAGATTTGAACAATACAATTAACAAACAAGGTTGCTATAACTCTGCACCCAAACAATTAGAGAATACGTATCTTTTTCAAGCACACACAGAACTTTAAAGAAAACTGACAACAACATACTAGACCAAGCTAAGTAATTCTTAACAAATATCAAAGAATCAGTATAATACAAACCATATTCTTTGACCAAAAGAAAACCACCAAAAAGTTACCTGAAAAATACCATGTTCAAAAATTTAAAAGTATACTTCTAAGTAACTTATAAGTGAAATAAATCATAGCAGAAATAAGAAAATGTGCAGAAATAATCATCTTTTAAAACACATCATACCAAAATTTATGCAATACAGATATAGCAATTCTTAGAGGTATACTGAAAGCCTCAACAATGTTCATATTTAAAAACTAAAATATGCATCCAATTTAGATATTTTCCAAAAAATGGAAATACACTTTTCAAAGGCACAATTCAAGAAAGCTAACAACAAAATATTACACTATGCAGGTTCTCAGGAAACTGGGAACTGACTTTTAAAACAGATAAAATACAGTAATAATCTGTAATATTAGAAAATTATTAAGTGCTTACTTAAGCCCTTAACATTCATAAGAAATAAACTATCTTATTTCCTACTCTAATGTTAGTAAATAGATCAGAATCTGGCATACAATAAACACTTAAATATTTGTTAGATGATATTAAATAATACAAAAATGTAAGTAGTATTAAAACCCCAGATTTTTAAAAAGGGCACTTACCTGGTAGTAAAATTTAATCTGTCTCACCAAAATGGATAGATTATGCATTCTAAGGGAGGCATCATTATTGACTTTTTTGTTTACTCTCTGACTCTCCAATTTAGGATTACTGTAAGAAATTAAAAAATACTTTAAAATTACATAAAACACTATTATCAACCTATACATAACCAAAATTAATCATATAATACTTTTTTACTTAAATAAATTGTGTGCTCATCTGCATTAACAGAGATGGTCCAAAAGGGCAGATTATTACTTTGACATGTATTCCATACTTCTAATTAATATAAATGCAACTGATACTCCTAAAGCAAGAACAAAATTAATTTCAAACATAAGTCAGATATTGCCTTTCATTCTCATTTAGCCACTCCACACTCCTGGGATGAATAACTTCCTATTTCCTTTGAATATACAGTTCTATCACACAAATAAATCCATTTAAAATATGGGCTAATAACCAATAAATGTTATTTCTCCTCACTGAGTAGTAGGGATTACATTTGAAAAGGCAATGTCCCAGAGAAATTCAAGAAAAAAGTGGATGACACAGGTTAGTATTTTTATCTCGGGTAAAGTTACAGATTCAACGAACACTAAGGGCTCAATTATCCTGAGGCAGCAGAAAATGCAGAAGAAAAATAGTCAAGCCATCCCTGGTTAAGAATGGGAAATTGTGGCACCTCCACACAAGGATGGAGAAAAGTCAAGAAATTGACACCCACCCAAAATACAAACTGAATAGAAACACCTCATTCTTTAATCTGTTTTCTTTTTACACAGTCCATTACACTCCTAACCCCTTCAGTTCCTTCCCTAAACAGATTAGACTCTATGGTGCTTTATTTCAGCAATTCTCAAACTTTTAAGTCTCAAGACCCCTTTGTAATCTTAATTGATAACTCCAAACAATTTTTGATTTTGTGGGCTATACTTAATATTTACTGTGTTAGAAATAAAGATGGAGGTAGGGCATGGTGGCTCATGCCTGTAACCCAGTGCTTTGGGAGGCTGAAGTGGGTAGATTGCCTGAAGTCAGGAGTTCAAGACCGTCCTGGCCAACATGATGAAACCCCGTCTCTACTAAAAATACAAAAATTAGCTGGGTGTGGTGGCAGGCGCCTGTAGTCCCTGCCACAGCTACTTTGGAGGCTGAGGCAGGAGAAACGCTGGGACCCAGGAGGCGGAGGTTGCAGTCAGCTAAGATCGAACCACTGCACTCCAGCATGGGGTACAGGGGGACAATCCGTCTCAAAAAGAAAAAAAAAAAAGAAATACAGAAAATTTCAAAGTTATTTATTTATTAACTCACTGTAACAAAATAATAAAACCATTACAGGCTAACAAAAACCAAACAAAAAGAACTTAGAAAACTGAGTGGTATTGCTTTACTATTTCTGCATCTCTTTAATGTGTAGTTTAACTTTTACGAAACAGATGCTTTGCTTCTGCATTTAATCCATTGTTTAGTATTTTGGTTCAAGTATATGAAGACATTTCATCCTCACATGTAGTTAGTAGTGGGAAGACCCTAGGGACCCTCAAAAGGATCCTCCATCCATACTGAGAACCACTGCTTCAACTATTTGTTTGCCGCCACTCCCAATATCTTGATCCTTTGTCCTTTGACCACACCCCCACATTCTTAATCCCCAACCTTGGATCAATTCAACCATTTACACTGAGATTGCTCAGGGGACTAGTTGAGAAAACAATGCAATCAAACTAAGCTATTAATAAGTAGGAAGAAGTAGCTATTACAAAAAGGGGGAAGATGCATTCTCACCATTAAAAAAACTAGAAAACTGGACAAAGCATGAAAAAACTGTTTTCTGACTGAACAGCAGGTCTGCAAGACTGGATTCTCTCTAGTAAGGCAGTGAGGTGCTTTCCAGAATGAGGTACAGGAAAATGGGTAGCCCAAGTCTTGTTGAACTTGAGGAGATAATGCTGGAGTTCATGGATGCTGAACTGACTGACACATTCAGAAAAGAATACCAGAGAAAAGGAAGCTACACTAACAAAGAGCTCCAAAAATCTGCCTTTAAGATTTTGCCTTTGGCTTTGCACACGCATGGATGTGGTGGTTCATGCCTGTAATCCCAGCACTTTGGGAAGCTAAAGCAGGAGGAATGCCTGAGGCCAAGAATTCAAGACCAGCCTGGGCAATATGGTGAGACCCTATCTCGAAAACAAAACAAAAAAACAACAAGATTTTGGCTGAATATTAAATTGTGCATGCATACCCTAAAACTCCACAAGACTAAGCAGAGATCAAATACAAGAAAGCTGTAAGCTAAACAATTCTCAAAGCTCACAATGTACAGAGAGAAATTTGAGTTCTGGCAAGCAGAGTGGAGTAGAGACCTTAATGAACATCCAGAACATACAGCAGAGACTGCAGAAGAGTCATGGGTCTTAGGAGGACTAAATCAGTAGCCGAGTAAAAGCTATTCAAGAACCCCACCACCAACAAAACAAGCCTTGAAAGGATCACACTGATTGCAAGTAACTTGACAAACTGCCAAAACAAAGTTTGTCATTCTAAAAGGACAAAGTCCACATACTCCAAAATGTAATCATTACAATGTCCTCCATACAATAAAAAATTAATAGACTCAAAAGATCAGAAAAATGTGATCCATAACCAGGAAGGAAAATGGAAACAGTAAACAGAAACAGACCAAGAAATGAAAAAGATCATGGAAATAACAGACAAGGACTTTAAAACAGCTATTATAAACCTACTAAAAGATTTAAAGAAAAACGTGAACATTAAGTAGAAAGAAATGTAAATTATATTTTCAAAACTCAAATGGGACTTCTAAAGCTGCAAAATACAACTACCTGAAATGAAAAATTCACTGCACAAGCTTAACAATGAATTAAGACACTGTATAGCAAACAATTAGTGAATTTGAAGACATTACAATAAAAACAATCCAAAGAAGCATGGAGAGAAGAAAAAAAGTTGAAATGAATAAACAGATCTATGGGGCAATAAATGAATAAACAGATCTAAATGATCTATGGGGCAATATTAAACATACATTACTACATAGTCCAATGTTAAGAATCCATTCCCGTTTCCCTACTTGTCCCAATAATGAATGGATGTCCTTTACAGAAAATAGATCCTGTTGAAAATAACACTTAGCATTTGCTAGCCTGAACTGCAATCTTTAATCTCTTTCAGGCTGGAGGCTTCTCAGTCTTTTGTTGATGTATATGAACCAGACACTTTAGAAGGGCTATAGGCCACTTACTTCATAGAATTACTTTCAACTGGGTTTGTCTGATAAGACTGTGTTGACTCATAATTAAGTTCAGGTTATATATCCTTAACAGGAAAAACACAGAGGAGATGCTGTGTTCTTCTCAATGCATCCAATTAATATATAGGCCTGGCTTGTTTCTGTGTTCTCTAGTATGTTTCACTCGTCTATCTATATATTCCCATGGCAACAGCACCATCTTAACAACTATAGTTCATTACATCTTGATGTATACTAGGGCAAGACGCCCTGGCTAAATTGCTTTTTTTCAAGTTTATCCTAACTATTATGATCTCAGTTCTACTAAGCCCCTTTCCTTTGTTGTTTTATCTCCACTGTCTTCGTTAATCAACACAGTGCTCTTTTCTATCATTTTAGGATATTTATAAGGCTCTATGAGAAACCTTGTTGGGATTTATTGATATCAGTAATATCAATTTGATTAAAAACTGGCAAGTAATTTCCATCAGGAAAATTTTAAAATTTCCCCACAAAAGTCTTATATATTGAAGATTTTTTTTCTTACTTGAGTAACAAAGTTTTTGTTGTTTTTGTGAAATGGATTTTTTTTTTCTATTGCACTGCCTACTGGTTCTATTGTATAACAGGAAAACTACAGAGTTTTGTTTTTTGTTGTTTTTGACACAGAGCCTCACTCTGTCGCCCAGGCTGGAATGCAGTGGCATAATTTCAGCTCACTGAAACCTCTGCCTTCCAGGTTCAGGCGATTCTCATGTCTCAGCCTCCAGAGTAGCTGGGACTACAGGCACGTGCCACCATGCCCAGCTAACGTTTTTATGTGTTTTTAGTAGAGATGAAGTTTCACTATACTGGCCAGGCCGGTCTTGGCCTCCTGACCTCAAGTGACATACCTATCTTGGCCTCCCAAAGTGCTGGGATTACAGGTGTGAGCCGCTGTGCCCAGCCGAAACTACAGAGTTTTTGAATGCTAAATTTCTAATTAACCACCTTTCAAAACTTAAGTTTACATGGCCATATTCTTGGTTTTTCTAGGTTAAAAAAAAAATCACACCATCAGTAAATGACAGTTTATTTCTACCGTTTCAATCTTGCATTACATTTCTATTTCTTTACTTATTGTATTAACAAATAAAAATAGAGACAACAGATATCCTTATTTTGCTGTTCTGTAACAGAATGACATTTAATGTTTCACCATTAATGCATGATGTTTACTGTAATTTTCTGATAGGTACCATCTATCAGGCTCAGTTCCCTTTCATTTCTGTTTAACGTCTGAATAGGTGCTCAACTTTATCCAGTATTATAATTTATTTATTTATTTATTTTGACGACAGAGTCTCCCTCTGTTGCCCAGGCTGAGGAACAGTGCCGTGATCATAGCTTTGTGCAGCCTTGAACTTGTAAGCTCAAGCAATCCTTCTTAGTCTTCCAAGTAGTTGGAACTACAGATGTGCACCACCATGCCTAGCAAACTTTTTAAAAAATGTTTTGTTTTGTTTTTTGTGATACAGTCTCATTCTGTCACCTAGGCTGGAGTGCAGTGGTGCAACCTCCACTCACCGCGACCTCTGCCTCCTAGGCTCAAGCAATTCTTCGGCCTCACTCTCCTGAGTAACTGAGATTACAGATGTGCGCCACATGCCTGGCTAATTTTTGAATTTTTAGTAGAGACGAGGTTCCACCATGTTGGCCAGGCTGATCTCGAACTCCTGAACTCAAGTGAGCCACCCACCTCAGCCTCCCAAATTGCCGGGATTACAGGCATGAGCCACCGTGCTCAGCCTAAAAAAATGTTTTAGCTTCTCTATGTTGCTCAGGCTTGCCTCAAACTCCTAGCCTCAAGTGA